TACCAAAAAAGTGGGGGAAAACATAACAAAAGAAATCAAAAGTAACACTTCCTTCCCACCACAATCCAATGTCATCTCTAGAATATAATTCTAGGGGGCCTGGCCCTAGCTCAGGCCTTAAAGTGGCTGCTTCCACAAAGCTGTCAGCCTCAGGTTGCTGGAGTTCGAACCTCACACCTCTCCCGCTGGCCAAAAGTGCCCTGAAGGAATTCGAGGAACCAAAAAAAAAAAAAAAATCCTAGAATATAATTCTACATTTACACTAATTATACATTTATACAAAGACATGCTTGGTTTTATTTACTCACGTTACATACATTCTTCTGAACCTTATTTATCAAAATACAGAAATCTACTTCCGTCTTAACTGTTTGAGCTGCTAACACAATGTCTTAGACTAAGTATGTCACAAACAACAAACATCTATTTCTCACAGCTCTAGAGACTGCAAAGTCCAAGATCAAGCCAATAACAGACACAGTGCCTAGTGAGAGTCTCTTTTTCTTGGAGTCTTCTCGTTGTTTTTGTCTACAGTATCTTCACACGGCTATCTGGGGTAAACGATGATATTTTTAATATCACCTCGGGTTGGGGAGATAGCTCAGCAGCCTAAGCACCTGCCAGGCAAGCACAGGACCTGAGTTTAAACCCAGGTACTGCATGTCCTGCCAGCCCAAAGACACCAGGCACACTGCACTGGCCCTGAGACCAGTCGTGGGCACCACTCATTTTTTTCTCTGACCTTTGTAATTTCTTTCCTTTTTCATGTTTTGTATTTGGATTTCTCTTCTCTGAGATGCTGATGTGCATAACTAAATAGCTGTTTTTCTAATTTAAGTATTGACAGCTATAAACTTCCCTCTTAGGACTGCTTTGTGTCCCACAGACTGTAATATAACACCACTATCATTTGATTGTAAGAACTTTTAAATGCCTTCTTCCTTTCTTCTGGGTGGTTATTGAAGACTGTATGAATCTTCATATGTTTACATAATTTTTATGATTTCCTTTACATTGCTTTCTAGTTCCATTGCATTATGATCTCATAGTACACATGAGATTATTTTTTTTTTTTGTACTAGGAATTGAACTCATGACCTTTTGTATTTATTTAAGCATCCTTTATAGTCTAAGGTATTGTTTGTTTTAGATAAAGTTATTTGTGCTGCTGAGAAAAATACATATTCTGCTGTTGGTAATGGAACACTTCTTATGGGCCTACCATGCAGGCCCCACACCGGGTACACATTGAGATGACAATTGAGACTGGGCGTGGTGGCACGCACCTGTAATCCCAGCTCTTGGGAAGCTGCAAACAGGTGGATCACTACGAGCCCGATCTAGTAGTGAGACCCTGAACACCCTGTAGACCCTTCCCTAAACTACAAAAAAAAAAAAAATCTTCATGAAACACTTCATAGATATCTTTACATCTAATTGAAAGTATGGCTCAACTCTGGTATTTCTCTGATTTGTCTTTCTGACCTATTTGCAACAATGGAATATTAAAGAGAACTACATTTGGGCTTACTAGGTATTTTATGTCTAGCAGTATTTGTTTCATAAAGTTAAGTGTCCTACTGTTGATGCATATATATTTATGAACGTTAACATGGATCAAAGGCCAATATATAAAAGCAGAAACACTGAATATACTGGAAGAGAAAACTGATAAAACTCTTGAAAATATAGGCATAGACAAAGACTTCCAGAATAAAACTTCAACTGCACAAGACTACCATGAATCAACAAACAAGATTAAATCAAAATTTGAAACTTCTGTACAAAAAAAGGAAAATAAACAAGCAACCTACAGAATAGGAAAAGTATTAACCAGCTACTCAGACAGAGGGCTAGAATATCTAAAATATCTAGAACATAAAATTTAAAAATAATGGACCTGGGGCCAGGGAGATAGCTCAGTATAATAAGTACTTGGCTGGCAAGTGCAAGGTCCTGAGTTTGATCCCTGTTACCACCAAAAATAAATAAACAAACAAACAATTTTTTAATAAATAAATAAAAATAATGGACCTCCAAAAATAAAAGACAATCAATTTGAAATGAACAGATACTATTCAAAAGAAATACAAACAGCTTATAAATACACAAAAAAGTGTTCAGCATCCTTGGTCAGTAGAGAAATGCACAAACTACACAACACCGAGATTCCACTCTACTCCAGTAAGAATGGCTATAATGAAGGCCTCAAAAGTAAACAACTGTTTACAAGGATGTGTGAGGAATACCTACACTGTCAGCGGACATGTAAACTAGTACAACCACTTTGGAATCACTATGCAGGTTTCTCCAAAACCTATAGATATATTTACATAATGCCTAGAAATCAATCAAGATAGCCTAACAAAAATGAGGAAAAGGGACTGGGGAAATGGCTCAGTGGAATGAGTGTTTCCCTCGCAAGTGCAAGGGCCTGAGTTCAATCCCCGGTTCTGCAAGAAACAAACAAAAATGAGGAAAAGACAGCTGGGCATGGTGGCACAAGGCTGTAATCCCAACACTCTGGAATGCTGAAACAGGAGGATGGCAAATTCAAGTGCAATCTGAACAACTCAGGAAGATCCTGTCTCAAAATAAACAAAAGGGCTAATGATGTAGTTCAATGTGAAGACCCTGGCTCAATCCCCAGCATCAAAATGTGTAACAGATATTGTGAAAGAAGAAAATGTTCAAATGAGAAGGGATATAAGGGAGGCAAGAGGGGAAAAGGAAAAAAGAACAAAGGAAAAAAATTGAAACAATGCTTTTATAAGCAAGGGAAATAAGGGTTCAAAGGGGAAGGGAATGAAAAAAAATAAGATACAGATAAAAATTCCCTATGATTGTCATTATATATGTACATACACACACACACACACACACACACACACACCAATAAAACTGTTAAAAGAAGCTTCTTGAAACACTTAACCATGAACGTAAGACTCAGTTAATGCTTTGCCTTCTGCTTATATTTGTTTGTATATGCTTCTGCTTTGAAGTATGGTAGTTTTTCACTGTCTTATTTCAAGCTATTCAAGGAAATTCTGTGAGTATAAATAGGCTTATATGTTGTCTAACATTGGAGAAGTCACTTTCCATGAGTTTATTTCAAGTTCATATTGCACATATTACTACCTCTAACAATTAAATACAAAGTACACTAGGCATATAATTGTATGAAACAACCATTCTTTAAATGGTGGCTGTTAGTATCTGAGATTCATCCAAAAATAAAGTCTAAAGTATACTTGAAAAAAATGACAATATAAAGGGTAAGAAAAACAGAGAAATTAGATTTTCATATGTGTGGATGCAATTGATACAATGGATGGTAAGGACAGAAGCTGGTTCAACACTTTTGTAAAAATATTTGGTGGACTCTACTAAAATAAAACATACCTACCATATAACTTAGCATTCTACTCCTAGATATATAAGCAAAACAAATGTCAACACATCCAAGAGAAACCTTATATAAGGATTTCAAAGCAGTTTCATTCACAGTATCCAAAAACTTCAAATGTGCTCCAAATACCCATTAAGAACAAAAAAATGTTACACTTCAGTGAAATAAAGCATAGCTTATTTAAAAACAATACACTAATACATATAATATGGATGAAACTCTTTAAAATTACATTGAACAGAGAAAAAGTAGGACAGAAGTCAAAATGATGTTGCCTCTTTCAAGGGTATATTAACTACAAACAAAGTAAGAGGGAGCTGATCTAATACTAGCACTCAAGGGGCTGAGGCAGTAAGATCACTGCAAGTTCAAAGCCAGCAAACTACATAGTGAGTTCAAGTCCAACCTGAACCACATAGCGAGATGCTGTCTTTTAAAAAAAGGAGAAAGGGCCTGAAGAATTTTGGAGAGATGATGGAACCATACCTTGATCTGAATGGTAGCTATATGGATGTGTATATACATAACAATTTGTTAAGCTATATAGTTAAATTCTTAAAGGATAAACACTTTATACACTATTTGGGTAAACACTTTATTGTGTACTCTACTGAGGTACAACTCTATTTCTCTTTTTTTTATGAGCAGAATATATTTATTGAGATAAAGAAAGCTCCTGTCCGGAGAGAGGGACAGGAGGGTCTATTCCTCTTATAACTCACCATTGCATATCCAATGATTAATACAAACCTTTATTTCTGTACATGCTTCTGGTTTTGATCACTTGTTTCACTTAGAATACTGAAGCTTTTAACTCTTTTCTTTTCCCAGCTTTAATTGTGGTAAAACATAGTTATCTTAACCATTTTTTAAGTAAACAGCTCACTGTATATTCGTAGTAATATTCATCATTAACTTCTTCAAAGCTATTAATACAAACTAAAATCTCTATTAAACTCACCATTCCTATCCTCCCACCTGTCCCTAGTAACCAATATTCTTTTGTCTCTGTAATTTTGAGTACACTAAGCACCTTATGTAAATGGAATCATATTATTTTTTTTCAAATGGCCTACTTAGCAGAATGTCTGCAAGATTTATCTACGTTGTAGGTCACATCAGAATTTCTTTATTAGTACATGTTAGTATATGATTATATTCATTGTGGTGAGTTAGTACATGCACATAACACATCTTAATTCTTTTTAAGAACCTGTACCGAGAATTGCTTTCCTTTTTAAGGTCAAATATGAGGTGAGATCCAAACATACAGGGAATATTTAAAAGTTTCTTATAGTAAAAGACATTCTGCCATTAAGCCCCTTCAAAATACTTCCCCCTCTCCACATATACTTATCTCATCCCTCTCAACAAATGTCTCTTAATGTTTTTTTAATTAACATATACTGCATTTCTTGAACACTTGTAATATTCACTCCATAAATAATTTTGAATGAACTTATTACATATGTAATTCACACAAATTCTAAAAATCTGCCTCTTCCTTTCAAATAGATCCAAAATTCCAAACACTACAAAACCTATGCTAACAGGAAAATTGAGATTAATTATATCCAAGAATATAGCTCACCTTCTTTGGATCAAGATTCCCAAAAACTGAATTGGCAAAAGGACAAACTTTAGACATTGAGCAACCAAGCTTTATAATGTCTTTATTTCTATTAACACTCTAGAAAAAGAATAAAGTACAAGATTCAGTAAAATATTATTTAACAGTGTCGTATTATTATTAAGGGTACTACTAAGCAAGATACACTGTACATTGGATATCACTGATTTTCAAAATATACACTAAATTTCAAAGTCGATGTAAGAAAACGAATATAAAATATCTTGCTCACATTTTATGTTGATTATATCTTAAGCAAAATTTTTGATATATTGAGTTTCAAAATGTATTTATTAAAATTTTACCTGTTTCCTTTTACTTTCAATACTGCTGCTAAAAATCCTTTTAAATTCCTTATATGTGTCACCTATTTCTACTAGACACTGCTAATAAAAGAATTACTGCTTAAACTAATATATCATGCTCCTACATAATAAGCTTAAGCATATAAACTATCATCCAATCTGAGGCACTGGTAAGACTCACGAAGGTACTATCAATACAGAGACAACGCCTGCCTGGCAAGTGCAAGGTCCTGAGTTGAATCCCCAGTACTGCAAAAAAATAAATAAATAAAACAGAGACAATGGAATGGGCATAAAAACAGGGCAGGCAACCTTTAAAGATAACATGTACATTAAGGAAAAAACACAAAATTGCACAAATTTTCTATAGGTATCATCACAGTTCTACAATGTTTTCTACCTTACTAAAGAACTCCTTGTTTACTCTTCTGTAACTTTTCTTCTCATAAATTCTCCTTTCATACAGTCAACTTATACTTGCCCACAAAAGGAATTCCTTCATCCCTCCCTTATCATATATATTTCAAAAATTCATGTGCAACAAAGGAATCTTCCATCTTTGGTGCTTGACTTTGCATTTTAAATTGAATACACTGGCTGGGGAGACAAGTTGGTGGTCTGAGCACCTGCATGGCAAGCTCAAGGACCCAGGTTTGATCCCCAGCACTGCATGGTGTGCTAGCCCTGATCCCTGGGAATGCCATGTTGGCCACTGAAACTCGGTGTGGTGGTACATGCCCATAATCCTAGCACGGTGGAGGCTGAGATAGGAGGATCGCTACAAGTGTGAGCTGTGCAGTGAGACCCTATAGCAAATAATAAAATATTTTTTAAATTTTTATAAATAAAATTCAATACAATAGTCTCGCTATTTCCTGGTTCAACTTTTGCACACCCACTGTTTTGTGGATTTTCAAAAACTATTCATCTAAATTATTTATTGCAGATTTTTCAACGTATCACGGGATTTTGCAGTACCGTACAGTACACATATGTTGTTAAAATTATGTAGGTTTATGAGTCTAGGAAATGGTTAAGAACACTAGAAGTGTTTTCAAAAGTGCAGAAAAGGTTTATAGGAGTGTGAAAAGGGTTTATAAAGCCTTAAAATATAAATACCAAAATAAATACAATATTGCTACTTCACTAATTTTCACTTACCACAAGGGTGTATGGAAGGTGACCTCCGTGCTAAGTGAGGGACCACTCTGCACTTACCTGACTTGCAGCCTGGCATAGAAAACTAGAAATGTTTAATCAATGCTTCAAATTTTCTAATTAGGAAAATATATCTCAAGTTTAAATTTAAGCCCTAAGTAAAAATGACTGAATTTTCCTCTTCCAGAGATGATATTTACTGGTGTAGCAGCTTTTTCTTCTCCCTAACTTTATTTCCTGCACAACTGGCCATCACCTTAGGAGTTTGGAACTTTCAGCTCTCTGAGCCAACAAGAACAGTCAGAATGGTCGGGCATTTAAAGTATCACCAGCTTTGCACACAGGTCTGGGTAAAGAATCATTTACCTTTACACCAAGAATGGGAAAGCACAGAAATTTCTGCATTTTCTGTGTGCCTACGCAAACTTCAGAGTCATGCTATAGAACCCATAATTCTTATGAGATTGCCTAAATCAGCAAGGCCTACCTATGTGCTCCATGAGTTAAATTAACGTGTCCATGACTGGCCCAAGCATGTTTCACTCACTGAGGAGCATAAGTCATTTGTGAATGTGTTTAAAGCACAGGCAGTCAGAAAGCAAAACTGAAAGAAAAAAAACAAGTTTTCTGCCTTCTTTTTAACAGCAGTCCTGAAAACTTCTTTCAAGAAACAACATTCTAAAAAGCCCCTAGATGGAGCTATAATTACAAAAATAGATGCTAGCTTTCTACAATTTATTGTGCTTAGTATAACAATAAATAAATTGAGTATAGTAACAATCTTGCTGATTTTCTTTTGAATTTTCAACCTAGTCCTATTATGAGCATAGTACTTACAACTCAAGGAATTTATCTTTAAATAGTACTGGGCACTAAAAATGACATATTAATTCTTGAATGTTTGTTTTCGCAATACCAGGGATTGAATCCAGGGCCCACACTGAGCTATGATCCTAGACCTTTTTATTTTTTATTTTGAAACACAATCTTGCCAGGGAGATAGTTCAGTGGCTTAAGTACCTGCCTGGCAAGCTCTAGGTCCTGAGTACAAACCCCAGTACAAAAAAAAAAAAAAAGAAACATGGTCTCAACAAATCATCCAGGCTGGTCTCCAAACTTTAGTCCTCCTAGCTCAGCCTCCCAAGTAGTATGGCATCGTAGTATAAACATAACGGTACACTACTAATATAGAGCCTAGAATGTACCATTACACACACGATTCTTAAGTTTACTTTTGTTTTTTGGTTTGATTAAGGAACACTTGGATTAGGAAGGAGAGGGAAGACAGGAAACCAAGCAGGCTGCTATTTACCTGAGCCCAAAATGTTATTGCATCTTCTACATGACTTCCAACCACATCTTCAACTGAAACCAAATAATGCAAAAAAATTAGAAATTAATATCATCTTAATTTTATATCCCAAAATAATTTTTAGTGTCCATACCTTCATTGCAATGTGCATCTTCATCCCTCTGGACAGTTTCTGAAAAGCTAAAACAATTCAACACCTCAAATTAGGTTATAATAATCTATCCATTAATAAAAAAAGACTAAATTACATTATGTTCAAATTCCTACAAATACTGTTTTGCCCTAATGAAGTTATTAAAAATCACACACTCAACACTGTATTAAAAATGACCTTAAATTTTCTCCAATAATTGCTTATTTTGAGTAATTATACATTGCAATTTTATCATACGCAATCTGTATTCCTAAAACTACCTTTAGTCAAACTTTTACTCTGAAAATCATGCACATTTTGATCACTTACATAAAACCATACTTGGAAAATATGTGTATATACTCTTTAAAAATAATGCCCTCTCGGGGCCTGGGAGATGGCTCAGTAGGATAAGCGCTTGACTGGCAAACGCAAGGATCTGAGTTCAATCCCCGGTTTTGCCAAAAAATAAAATAAAATAAAATAAAAATAAAAAATAAAAATAATGCCCTCTCAAACAAGTGTTACTTTCCAGTTTTGTTTTGTTTTTTGTACCAAAGATCAAACTCAGGATCTTGCACTTAACCAGACAAGTGTTTATGCCACTGAATTACATCCCCAGCAAGCCAAACAAGCGAACTTTCACAGTGTAAGCAAAGTCAAATACTACAAATGCTTGAAACTGCTATTATTTGAAAGACACACTGGGTACTATTTTTAGACAATTAAAAGCAATCAAATTGTGGCCATTATTTCAAAAAACACTTATTAAATATTTTTATTAGTATATCTTTATAGTATACAATGATTACACTCATTCTGTAGAATCAACACATGTCCATAACACATCTCAATTCTTTTCTTCTCGGGCCAGCCAAATAGCTTACTGGATTAAAGCGCCTGCAAGCAGGCTCAGGGGCCGAGGTTCCATCCCTGGGCCAGCTGGGCTGGCCCTGCCCCAGAGGCATGCTGGGTCAGCAACTGAGACTGGGGTGGTGGTGTGCCTGTAATCCAAGCTCTTGGGAGTCTACAAACAGAAGGATCACTACGAGTCTGATCTAGTAATGAGACCCTGAACACTCTGTAGATCCTTCCCTAAAAAAAAAAAAAAAAAAAAAAAAAAAAAAATCTCTTCCACCTCTTCCTTTTGGTAGCATCAGATTTATAAAAATTATAATTTAAACAGATTAACAGGGACCAGGGAGATAGTTTAGCAGCTTAAGCACTTGCCTGGCAAGTGCAAGGTCCTGAGTTTGGTCCCCAGTACCAAAAAAATAAAAAATAAACAGAATGACAGCCTAAGAAGACAAAAACATATAAAACACATACATCAATTATATTAAATCCAGGTTTTCTTTTAGATACATTGCCCATGCTGGATTATAATAACTTTTTTATCTTCTTTTCAAAAGCAACTTTGTAATCACACAAGACTATAATATCTGCAAAATATTTGAAAAGAAACATCCACTACATTATAATTTTATTCCCAATATGCTGGAATTGTGTGGTTTCCATTCACAAATATTAAAGAAAAATAAAAATATAATTTGTTTTTCTATTGTTCAGTTCCAGCTGATTTCCTTTGTAAAAAGTTACTTATGTATGGTATAAGCCAACTATCTTGATGAACACTGGAGTTGATATGATTAACTGGCATGTTTTTCTCCCATCCTCTCCCAATACTTTCTGTGGCCTTCAACTTTTAAGAGAAATATTCTACAAAGCACACCCTATATCAAGAGCCAAAAAACAATTTAACAAAACCCCTTCACGGAACTACCTCATAGAGATAGATAGCAGTGCCTGACATGCTAGGGTAAAATAAATTATATATAACCACCACTAACACAAAAGTTTCAAGTGCTCTCTCAAATAGGAAAGGCTATTTTCTAGAAAATTCTTATTTTAAAATGACTTGCCCAGGTGATGATGAAGGCACAGGTGCTGTACCCATTTTCTGCGAACGTGGATTACCAAAGGGTGTGTCCAAGTCTGCACTACAAAATGAAAATTTGGAATATCGGTACAAGGCGCTCCATAACACTTATTTTATGAGTTTTCACAGTTTACAAGGCACAGAATTTGCTGAAGGGGTGGGGAGAGGGCGGGGAAGGTCAATTCCATCCAGCGCAGGCCGGCGAGGCCCACTTCACAAACCCCTCACGCGGAGCCATCCGCCCGCCACTTCCACGTGCGGACCCCACACTCACCCAGCGCGTGGCGCCTCTCCGCGTGGCTGGGGCCAGGGAAGGGGATGTAGGCCGCGCTGGGGCTTGGCCCTACTGCGCAACCAGAAACTAAAATACTGGCCTTAAAGTAGTCACCTTCGCACCGCACCTGCCACAGGTCCACTTACCCCACACTTTCCGCCACACACTCTCTGGAAAATGAGCCCTGACTCCACATTCTGGGCCCTCAGCTCACCGCCTCGTTGGCCCTTCGCTAGCCGTCGCGCACGTGCCGACGCTTACTGTGCTCGCTTCCGTAGTGCGGACCCACATTGCGCCTGCGCACGCGGCGCAGTCACGTGGTCGGGGCGGGCCGGAAGCTGGGCAGCCGACCAGCGAGTCACGTGGTGCCAAGGGCTGGAGCCTGGACGACGCTGCAAGGCGCCAACTGCAAAGCTGCCACGTACGTACGTACGTAAGGCGCAGGAAAGTAGCGCATAGAGGGCATGCGCAGGGATCATAAAGGCCGCGCTCACCCGCACCTTCAGACCAATGATTGGTTCAGTTTATCAAGAGCCCAGTGACGTCAATCCTTTACGTGGGGTTGGGCGGGCCTTTCCTGATTTGTTCTGGAACACGGAAATGAAAGAACTCTCTAAGTAAAAAATTTTCAATGTTCTTATAGGTTTGCATAGATCCTTTGCCCAAGAGGTATGGATAGAGAATGAACACACAAAAAGATGTTCAATATTTTTAGTCATTAGAACAGTGCAAAAAGATCATAAAGAAAGTTGGATTGTGGTGCTGCCTATGCTTATTATCTTGGTACCAAGGCCAAGATGGGAGGGGTGCTTGAGCTCAGAAGTTTGAGACAAGCCTGAGCAACATAGCAAGAATAGTAACTCTCTCTCTCTCTCTCTCTCTCTCTCTCTCTCTCACTGCCTTTCGCTCTCTTTGTCTCTGTCTCTCTCACACACACACACAGGAAAGAAAAATGAAAAAAGCTCACAAGTTGATCCTATAATGCATAAATACTTAAGCTTAGAAACATTTCAAAAGGATGTGACAATATGGAGCAACTGTAACTCTTAACCACTGCTAGTGGTATTATAAGTTAGCATCTACTTTGTAAAACAGTCTTCCTTGTCCTGTGGCAGATGCAGTGTGATGGCAGCTACTTCAATGACAGCACTTTAGTTGCTTTTTGGGGGGGAAATTTTTATTAGTACATGTCTGCAGCACACAATGATTATATTATATTCTTATAGGGGAAAATTACCGGTTAAATAAAAATGTATTGTTCAGACAGCAGCTTTACATGCATTTCTGCAGCCAACCCTTTTATCCATGTGTCTCTTACCAATGCCTTATTGTTTTTCTGACTTTAAGAGGGAAGGGTTCAGTGTAGCTTAGCTGTGGGGTTATGTGCAAATAGTATTACACTTTGTGGCAACCTGTGCACAATTGACATTTTTGTATTTTTAGCATTATTGAGGGTATAATTTACATATAACAAATTACAGCTAGCAAAGGTAAACACTATATTAACCATGAATATTTGTATACATTATTTAAATTATTCCCACGATTAAAGCAAACCTTACTAGTAGTCCCAAGATTTCCTTATAGCCATTTACAGTGCCTTATTCCCTCCATATCTCTCTCACACTCTCACTCTGCTTCTATCACATACCGTAATTTTTATTTTCTAGAATTGACATTAATGGAATAACATGGCTTATGAATTTTATTTGGATTCTTTCAAACTATAATTATTTTGATGCTCCTCTTTTGCCTTAA